AGCCGTGCTTTCCCGGGCTGCTTCGGCCGTGGGTTGGAGATGGTTTATCCCCCAGCTCCGCGGCCGGACCGACTAGAGGGGCGTTCCCTTCTTCCCGGAGGTGCACAGTAGGCTCACGCGGTCTTGAAAAGCACTTTTTTCTGCTCGTGCTGCGTGTCCCTCCACCCCCACCACTCTTGACGGTGGAACAGCCAGGGTGTATGTGGCGATTCCTCAGGTTGAGTGCACGATGGCGGTCAATCCACGCGGCGCCTCTTCTTGGCGGGGTCCGCCTCGTCTCCCATCCAAAGCCTGTAAGTTATCTGCCTCCCTCGGAGCTAGAGCTTACATAGCTGCGGGCCAGGCTGCTTCCGTCTTGCATGCGATAGTCACCTAACAGCGCTAACAAGCGCAGGCGCTGGCCGAGCTGCACGAGGGTGGGTCCAACCCAGGCTTACGAGCTTCGCACCGCCGCCGACTTAGCTCTTCGGACTACTGAGTCCGCTGCGTGTGCGTTGGGGAGGACGATGTTCACATTAGTGATCCAGGAGCGCCACCCCTGGCTGATATGCGCGAAGTCGACAAAGTCCGCTTTCTTGACTTTCCCCATATCCCAAGCCATGTTCGGCGACACTGTCTGTGAATTCACCCAGGAATTCAAGGCGGTGAGAGAGCAGTTGATGGGTGATGTCTTATCGGCCATTCATACCTGCTCCTCGCCGAAGGCGCCCGCCTATGAGAGCTGCTCCGCCCCCGCACACACCTCGGAAGCAGGCAGCCCCCCTGCCCAGAACGCCGCTAAGTCTGGCAACGGACCGCGAAGCGTCCCTGGGACAGGCCATCTGGAGAAGAGGGAACTTGCTCTTTCCCCGCTGGAGGGCGGGGCCCCATTTCCAACGGCACTTTTTTACTGCCATGAAAACATTATGAAAGGGCACTTTTCCACTTCCCCGGATGTGACAGCCCGAAATCTGCCAGTCTCGGACGCTATGCTTTCTAGCTTGCAGATTCGGTGCGTTTCGCCAGTGGCTCACGAGCGCTGGGAGGACGGTCTCCTTTCTCCCACCCCTCTAGCCTCCCCTCCGGAGCTCGGGTGCGGAGTGAGAGCAAATATCTCACCTCCAGCTTTTCCGTGGGACCCACGCGCTTCCCGGATCAGCACACCCACTCCGCGCTGCCCCACTGCTGGTACGTCAGCGATTGTAGCGATGAGTCCATTAGCGAGAGCTCTGCCTGCTTGGTTAGCGCGGGCCAGCTCTTCGCGGTGGCTCATACGCACAATCAGACTCGGCTATGCGATTCAGTTCGCGAAACGGCCCCCCAAGTCACGGGTGTGTATTCACCAGGGTCAGCCCCCTGTCCGCCCCTGTCTTGCGAGAGGAGATTGCTGTCCTCCTGGCGAAGGATGCAATCGAGCCGCTCCCTCCAGCCGAGATGGAGAGCGGGTTTTACAGCCCACACTTCATCGTGCCCAAAAAGAGCGGTGGGTCACGGCCAATCCTAGATCTGCGCGTTTTGAACCGCTGTCTGCACAAGCTGCCGTTCAGAATGCTCACGCAGAAGCGCATCCTCCGGTGCGTTCGTCCTCTGGGTTGGTCTGCAGCATTAGACCTGATGGACGCGTATTTCCATGTCTCCACTCTTCCTCGCCACCGTCAGTTTCTGCGGTTGAGTTTGAAGGTCGAGCTTGGCAATACAAAGCCATCCCCTTTGGGCTCTCTCTGTCTCCGTGGGTCCTCACCAAGCCCGTGGAGGGTGCCTTAGCGCCCCTTCGACTCGCGGGCATCTGCATACCTAAATTCTTGACGACTGGCTGATTTTTGCCCTCTCTCGGAGCAATTGATTATGCACAGAGACAAAGTGCTCCGGCACTTCCACCTGTTGGGGTTTCAGGTCAACCGAGAAAAGAGCAAACTCGCCCCCATGCAGAGGATCTCTTCTCTCGGGCTGGAGCTGGACTCGGTCACCATGGCAGCGCGCCTCTCCGGAGAGCGCGCTCAGCTGATGCTGTACTGTCTGAGAGAGCTCGACAGTAAAATAGTGGTCCCACTGAAAATATTTCAGAGGCTCCTGGGGCATATGGCATCCGCAGCCGCTTCATGCCGCTCGGATTACTCTATATGAGACCACTTCAGCACTGGCTTCACGATCGAGTCCCCAGACGCGCATGGCACGCGCGCGCACACCGAGTCTCTGTTACTGCGCTGTGTCGCCGCGCCCTCAGCCCTTGGAGCGACCCCTTGTTCCTACAGGCCTGGGTGTCTCTAGAACAGGCGTCCAGTCTGGTTGTCGTTTCAGCAGACGCTTCCAACACGGGCTGGGGGGCTGTGCGTTGCGGGCATGCGGCTGCGGACCTGTGGAAAGGTACCCAGTTGCATTGGCATATCGCCTGAAGCTGTTGGCAGTGTTCCTCGCTCTCCACCGTTTTTTTCCGGTGCTGGAGCGGCAACACGTGCTGGTCAGGACGGACAGTATGGCGGCGGTGGCGTATATCAGCCGTATGGGGGTATGCGCTCTCGCAGCATGTCTCAGCTCGCCCGCCGTCTGCTCCTCTGGAGTCATCCGCGGCTGAAATTGCTGCACGTCATTCATATTCAGGCAAGCTCAACCGTGCAGCCGATGCGCTCTCACGGCAGCCTTACGTCCTGGAGAATGGAGACTCCACCCCGAGTCTGTTCAGCTGATATGGGCGCGATTCGGGGAAGCCCAGATCGATCTGTTGCTTCCCCCGAGATCGCTCATTGCCAGTTGTTCTTTCCCTGACCGAGTGCTCTCGGCACGGATGCACTGGCTTACAGCTGGCCTCGGGGTATGCGCAAATACACGTTTCCCCCAGTGAGCCTGCTCGCGCAGTTACTGTGCAAGGTCAGGGAGGACAAGGAACAGGTTGCTGGTTGCGCCCCTCTGGCTCAACCGGACCTGGATGTCAGAGCTCTCCCTCGCGATAGCCCTCCCCTGGCAGTCCCTTCGAGAGAGCACCTACTCTCTCAGGGACAGGGCACCATCTGGCACCCTCGCCGATCTTTGGAGGTCCTTAGACGCGAGGAAGACTTAGGTAACCTCCGATTGCGGTGGCTAATACCATCACTCGGGCTAGAGCCCCCTCCCCGAGCGAGCCTATGCCCTGAAGTGGAGTCTATTCACTGAATGGTGTGTCTCTCGCAGAGAAGACCCCCGTAATTTGCCAGATCAGCGTTGTGCTTTCTTTACGCCGAGAGAAGCTGGAGAGCAGGCTGTCGCCCTCCACACTCAAGGTTACGTGGCTGCCATCTCCACTCTCATGACGCGGTAGCTGGCGGCACCGTGGGAACGCATAACCTCATCATCCGGTTCCTCAGGGGCGCTAAGCGAATTAATCCACCCCGCCCCCTCTCATGCCCTCTTAGGATCTCACCCTCGCTACACAAGCCGCGTCAGATCCCTTCGATCCTCGACTCAGTATCTTTCTGTCCCTGAAGACAGCTCTGCTGGTCGCGTTGATATCGATTAGAGGGTCGGGGACCCGGAGGCATTTTTCGGTCAGTGACTCGTGCCTGTAATTGGGCTGGCTTTCTCTCACGTCCTGAGACCCCGCCCGCGATATGTGCCCAAGGTTCCTACCACTCCGTTTTAATACGAGGTAGTGAGCCTGCAAGCGCTGCCCTCGGAGGAGGCAGACCCAGCCCTTCTTTATTGTCCAATTCGCGTTTTGCGTATTATCCGGACCGCACTCAGAGTTTAGATCATCTGAGCAGCTCTTCGTCTGTTATGGCGGTCGGCAGCAGGGAAGTGCTGTACCGAAATAAGTTCCCACTACATTGTGGATGCCTTTCTTTCCCTATCAGAGCCGAGGTGAGCCGCGTTCCCCGAGAGTGCATGCGCACTCCACTCGGAGCTTCGCATCCTCTCGAGCGCGCGCACGCGGCGCCTCTCTAACAGACATCTGTAGAGCTGCAGGCTGGGTGACACCCAACACATTTGCAAGGTTTTACAATCTGCGAGTAAAGCCGGTTTCCTCAAGGGTATTAGGTAACCCTTGGTGATTGAGGAAACAATTTGGTAGGGTGTTGAAACACGCTTGCTGCGCCATTCTCCCTAACACGGAGGTACGTGCGCCTTTTTATCTGTCAGTAAAGTTCCCCGTCAGGTGAGCCCTGCAGATTCCTCCGTGGCCCCCAGCACTGACTCAGCGGAGGAGTCACTTGCTGGCCCACTACGTTGTAGGTCTGCCCGCTGGTCAGCCCACGTTTTGGGTAAAGGTGCCTGCTATGCGTGATCCCCACTAGGCGATCCCATATGCTTATTCCGCCACGGTTAAGTTCCCCCCCCTCTGGGCGGACCCGTGTCTTCCCTCTCCGCTAACCACTCTTTTGCTACGTGTACTCCCCCTTTTTAGGGCTAGTCCATATGTAATTCTGCCATCTATCTATCTTGCTTGACTATCCCCTCATCGGGGGCGTTGGTAAGGTGCAGTCATTATGGCGCTTTCCATACTTCTCCCATTTCTTGGATTTCAATCAATCCACTCTATGGCACTGAAGTTCCCCAACCGAAGGGGAACGTTCCAGGTTACAGAAGTAACCCTTCGTTCCCCGAGGACCCTGTCCCTTAGCTGTTTGAAAGTCTCTTCAGCTTAAAAGGATGGCGTTTGCTCGCTCCAGGTGTGCTTATATGCTGGGATAATTGGCAATGAAGTACACCTGTGCAAGCTTACGCTGCCAATTCATTGCTTTCATTGGCCCGTTCAATACTCTTTCAGACAAGCGGCTTCTGAACCGAATCCTCCCATTTCGTGGATTTCAATCAATCCACTCTATGGCACTTCCGTTCCCCTCCTTGGGGAACGAAGGGTTACTTCTGTAACCTCGAACGTTCTTTAGTTTTAAAAGTAGTATAATGTATTGTTTTAAATAATGTTAAAATTACACATCAAATTTAAAAATGGGATTTAACACACCACACATAGTAAAACAAACTTACATCTGTGCAAATGCTAATTATTTTACAAAAAAAATGCTTAAAGATGCCAAGAACCATCTTACCTCATTGACATCGATGCCATTATTCACAGACCAGGTGGTTTGGAAATATTCCAGCATTCGTTGTTTCAGCTGTTGTGGCAGCCGGTGAACCCGAATGAAGTCCTTTAGATCTTTCATGCGTGTATGATATAGTGAGCGACGTGAGTACATGCGCTGGATAATAGCTGTTACATTTCCAAACACCACAGCATGCATGAGAGCTGTATGAAACAAACAATGTAAGGGTAAACATATAGTCAGTGACCCGGCTTGTGGCTGTCACTACTGTATAACAATAAAAGGTTCTGACTTGTGTCTGAGTAACTCATGTTCACATAGTGATAATTATTGTGTTAGACATAGAATTAGATTTTCAAAGATTGCTGAATATTATTACAGTTGCACATCACAGAAGACAATGTCAGAACATGCACAAGTTAAAGCAAAATTAATAGCCCTCCTGAGCAAAAAAAAAGGTGATGTTTAGCAGAGAGATTTTTTCAACACATTTTTAAATATAATACTTTAAATGTCTTTAAATTAAAAAAAAATCTTTTGCCATTTTAATAGTTATTTTGCTTAGTATTAATTTTATTATTATTTAGCTTAAAGTGCAATTTAAAGTATTAACTAGGTTAACTAGCCAAGTTAATTAGGCAAGTTTTTAGACAACAGCTATTAGTTTTGTTTCAAAGAAAATAATAATTCATAAGGGGTCTAACTAGGGTTGTAACAATATACCGGTATGACGGTTTACCACGATTTGAACGTGCACGATTATCATACCATGAACAATTGCATATCAACGGTTTTAACCCTTAAAGACCGAGACAGCCGCCCGCGGCTAAAAATAAGTATTGCTCTTAAATGTTTAATAACTTTTGATCCGCTGATCCGATTCATACAATTCAAAGATTGGCATAAAGAAGAGAATCTCAGCTTTCCAGTGCTGTATCACATAACATTCGCGGACTTTCAGAGGCTCCGGAATCAGTGCGGTTACGTCATCAACATTTGACAACGCTGATTTGACAAAGAAACGCTCGTCACTGTGTCTCCGGACAAATCAGACATGATACATTGATGCATTGTCCCTCCTCCATGCCCAGATTGGTTCAAACTCGCTATATCACAACCAATAAGCATAGGTTTCGCTTTTGTTTGTGGACCAAGCTTTTTGAACAACACGGAATGAGAGATAGGCATACATTTATGCGCGGCTAAATAAAACGCAAAAAAAAAAAAGTTTTGCATGAAATAATTCTCATACTAAGTACTTTTGCATGCACAGCAGCACAGAAACATGACAAAACAGTGACACAGCAAAGACGAACTGCTGCTCTTGCGGTTTTCAAAAGACGCAAATGAAGATGCAGCTGTTTGTCTGCATTGCAGACAACCATATCCATATCCATATCGATAGACAACCATATCCATGCTGGCACATAAACCTAAGGATGTTCCATATTGAATCTAGTTTCGTTATGTAACTATTTATAGTATAGTAAATATTTATATCTATTTTTTACTGAGGATTTGCACCATGTTTATTTGGACTTTATTTGGACTTTGACACATTATTTATTATTTTCTTATTTTTTTTATTTGTTCATTGTAAGTGGTGTTGTTTATAGTAACTAAAAATATATTATTTGGAAAAAGTCAAATTTGCTTCACTGTTCTATTATTTTGTAACATTTGTAACATACCGTATACCGCGAAACCGTCAAACCGTGGTATTGTTTTAGACGATTATCATACCGTGAAAAATTCATACCGTTACAACCCTAGGTCTAACAATATTGACCTTAAATAATCTTAAATAAAAAAAATAAATCTGCTTTAATTAAAAAAAAAAAAAGTTGTTTTTTTTCAGAAGAAAAAAATAGTGAACACTATAAAATTCCATTGATTGGAAAAACATAACAAAAACTATAAATTGTCAAATCAAGAGTGGTAATGTCAAGAATGAATGCATAAATCAGATATACCAGTGAGCTACTTTAATGAAAAGAACTCTCTAGAATACTATGGTATTTTCTTTTTACCTCCAATAAGCATAGTACAAACAGAGAAGATCTTTTCAGCATCAGTGTTGGCACAAACGTTACCAAAGCCCACACTGGTCAGACTGCTCAAGGTAAAATACAGAGAGGCAATGTAGGCACTGCGAACTGAGGGACCACCAAATGTACTGTTCATATAGGGCTTGTCCAAACGCTTGCCCAATTCATGCAGCCAGCCTGGGAGAAAGAAAAAAAATAATAATGTCATTATTCTGTTATGTCACATGTTGGCTAAAAGCTTACATGGCAGTTATTAGGTAAATAAAACTCATAAAACTTATCTTTAATTTTTATAGCACATTTAGATGTTGTCAATGTAGATGTAGATGTTGTCAATGTGTCAAATTAGCTTAAATTAGATTAAGAAAATGAAATAAAAACCAAAACAATATTTCAGATTGTGGAACATTTCAGCAAGTCAAACAAGCAAAAAAGTAGTGGGAGGATTTTGGTGTAGTTCTAGTTAACCCTTTACTTGCCTGCTCTAAAAAAATGGTTGACCATATTTTGACTGTTTTAAATAATGACTGTTAAAGTCATTTAAAGAATGACTGTTTTAAATTATGGTTTACACTACACAGCATTGTTGGTTTACAAACAAATGAAACAAACATAATCCTGTTGCACTACTAAACTTGATTTGGGTTTTACTGTAAAAAACAAAACAAAACAAGAAAACATGCTAAATGAGAATCTGAAATATTTTTTGTCATACTTCAAAAAATAAAGCTGATTTAGTATTCAAAAATGTTTTATTTTGATAATGTTTTTTAATAAATTGGTCCTACATTTCATATTTTCAGATTTTTCATAGTATATGTATTAATTTTGGTACTTTTACCATAAACCGACATATCATCCATTTGGTAGAGGCTGATTTGGTATAGGATGTGTTAAGTGTGTTATAGCGACATTAGGAGTTTGGAAATGCAATCCAAAAAAGTAATTTTTTGGTGGGGCAGTTAAAGAAAATAAATTCTGATCAGTTTAGCATAAATGTCACTGTTGAAGTTCAGTTTAATATGGATCATTTTAATACAAATGTCACTGCTGAATGCTGACCCACTGGAGAGTAGCTCCACCATTACAGGAGTGACTCAAATTCTAAGCACACGGTGATATGGATTTTGTGTGGGGTAGCATATTCCTCTGAACAGAGCTACTTGTGGGACACAGTGTTTTAGCCAGCACTGAAGGCTCTTGTACAAAAGCCCCAACAGCATGATGGCAGACAGAGCCACAATCAGCTCCAAGGCGCTCTTCCCAGCATCATATATGCCAAAATTGCTGAATAACTGCAATTGTGAAATGGGCACATGTAGTCAACTTGGACTTTTTACAGTTTTTTTACAATGTCTAAAAGCCTCTATTCAGTTTCAGTGTTCAGTTTTTTCAAAACTTTTCTTGCAGTTCTTGCAGATCCAATTGTGGATCATTTTCCATTGCTTAGGCACAAAATACACTCACAGACTACTACTTTCCAATAACATGAATTCTTTTCCCACTAAGACACAAACAATATATCACCAAAAATCTATGTGTGTCTAAAGGCCAATATTTATTTATTTATTTTTAAAGAAATTTATTAAGATAAAGGTCGACACAATGGGTTAGTGTTTAGCACTCTCGTCTCACAGCAAGAAGTTGCTGGTTCGAGTCCCAGCTGGACCAGAAGGTTTTTCTGTTTGGACAGCTGAATTGGATAAAATACTGTCTTTAGTGTATGTGTGTGTGTTTTGTGACAGATAGTGTATGGGTGTTTCCTAGTACCGGGCGTTCCTAAATGCACTCTCAGGGCTCGGTTGGAAGGGCATCGGCTACATAAAATATGGCAGAAAATTGGCAGTTAATTTCGCTGTGGTGACCCTAATTAACAGCGATAAAGCCGAAGTAAAGTGAGTGAGTAATTAAGTTCAAGTTTAGCATAATACAAAATAGTGGTCTAAATCACCAGTCCCCATTATATATTTTACTGTCAACTTTTTTTTTTTTTTTTTTTTGCAAATGCTTGAACTTCAAATTATGTCTGCAGCTTTACCTAAAGAAAAACATTTATCAGTTTCACTTTAATTTATTGCTGCAATGCTGAATGGATTTTAAAGCAGAGAAACTGACCAACGTTTTAATGAAAACCTGTTGCACCTTTTCTCAGTGTTCTAGCTTTATTTTACTAACTTGCTGCATGCTGAAGGTGACACCGATAACCAGAAGTTAAAATAACTCAACCCTCAAGTGGGTATTAATATTAAACTAAATAATGGTACAATAAAATGTTGGTGATATATATTAATATGAGCATTCATGAATCAATATAATATTGTCATAAAAATATTTCAACATTGTGTTTTATCAATAGTTTTCCCCACCCCTACTACAAAAACTGAATAAGTTTAGTTATTATATAATGATGGTTTGTTCTATAGACTTTCGGAAAAATATAGTTTAAAAGGGCTAATGATTTTGTCCTTAAAATGGTGTTAAAAAATAAAAACTGCTTTTATTCTAGCTGAAATAATTTAAATAAGACTTTTTCCAGAAGAAATATTATATATTAGCAAACTTACTGTGAAAATTTTACTTGCTCTGCGAAATATAAAAAAAATTATAATAATTCAAAGGGGGGCTAATAATTCTGACTTCAACTGTACATAGTTAATATGAAATAAAATTAAACATACAGTGAAATTATGGTCATAAAGTAGGAAACTTTAAAAAGGAAACTTTAAAATAAAGTGTAACCCCTAATTCTCTATTGTATTGTACAGCTGATTTTGGAGTTATTAACTGATTATGTGGATTCCCACTAAGGAATGCTGCCTTTAAACATAATGACAAAAATGATTAATTGGATTTCCATTTAGTAACAATTTAGTAATGTTCAACTTAATTTGTTTGTTTAAATTTAGCCCATATAAATTGCTTGCAACCACTTACCTTAAAAATGTTAGTAAACTCAGTGAGTCATTTTTTTCAGTGCATAAAGACATTCACTGGTCATTTATACATTTGTCAGACGAACATTTCCCATCTGACAGGTTGGTGTTCTTGGCCCGAATAAGAATCAGTGTGACACTATGACGACAGTTAAAAATCTGTTCCTAACTGAGTGTTTATTCCAATGAAACATCTCATATATTTTGAGCAATGCACTAAGCAACTCACCGATGTCCCAGGCTCCACTTGCATTGGTCTCCATCTCTTTTCGCCCAATGATGTACCAGATGCAGGCCATCCAGTGAGCCAGAAGAGCAAACATGGACATAAGCAGCGTCAGCACCATGGCGCTGTACTGTGAGTATCTATCCAACTTCTGCAGGAGTCTCAACAGACGCAACAATCGCACAGTTTTCAGCAGGTGCACTAGAGATGTCTTGAAGAAGAACAAAAATGTTTGATGTCAGTAGTCTATATAAGTAATCTGTTTGAATATGTTTCAAATAAAATGTATGAATAAACATGCTAAATGTTCTATGTGATGGGAAATATCAAAGTGTAGATGATGATACAGCACCATCACAGTTATGATGGTTCTACCATATATTTAAGGAATAAACAAAGTTTTCACACGTGAACTTACAACAGTAATATTAAATGCATAGAGCAGGTCAAAGGGCAGGGCAGCCACCAGATCCACAAAGAACCATGTGGTAGCATAATGCAGACAGATGGAGCGAGGCTCGTACACCACTTGTCCTGATTGACTCACATAGGTGGTGCGAAAGTTAAGAATGATGTCTGAAAGTAAAAGGTAGGATAATGACTTTGCTGCACAAGTCTGCTCAAACAACATTTCTTGCTTTTATCAAAGCTGAGAAAACTATTTTGCTGCTTTGTGTTTTTATATACACTTCCAATCAGAAAATTGTCTTGGGTACATTAAAAAGGTCAATTAATAAATACATCAATACATTAGCAAGGACACATACACTTGTTCTAAAGTGACAGTTAAAATATGTTTACAATTTACACTACCTGATAAAAGTCTTGTGGCCTATCCAAGTTTTAGGAATAACAAATTAAAACTTGACTTCTAGATGATAATTTGGTTTTAGAAGTGGCTTATATAGAAAGGCCTCCATGCTTATTTTACAAAAACAAAGTATGATCATGCCTTGATTTTTAATTAGGACAGTCCGACCTTGCTTATACAAAAATCGAGTCACTTACAGAAATATTGTACAATATAGAATATAAAGACATGGTGCAGTGAAAACAGAATTGATGGGCCATTCTTCAACTACGGGCACTTTTAGCCTTGTGAATTTGAGTAAAAAAACTTGTTAAAAAAAACAATCATCTGAAAGAGTATAAAATCGGGTCAATGGAATGCCAATGAGTTGGCTGCGTCAGCGTGCACAGCTGGCGTCAATGACAATCAGTCATACTATAAAGACACAGCTAGTGCAATGCTCGATATGGTTACTTTAGTAACCGTAGCGTTCCCCTTCGAATGGGGAACTCCAATGCTATGTGGAAACTTCCACTATGGGGAAATTTATGGAAAATGCCACAATGAAAGAACCTTACCACATCCCTGGCGAAGAGTGTGCCACACAGTAGAGCAAGTGCACCAACAACGCCCCAAGACACAGTCTTCCAACGTGTCCCCTGGCCCTTACTCACCTTACTTATCTGTTCAGGCTTAGCTATATTTTTCGGGGAGTCGCAGCAACCCAGTAAAATTAGGTTTTGAATACAACAGTACGTTGGGAAAGCGTTCAGTCCCGATAGGGAGGACGCTGCAGAGATCACCTGCTACCCAAGAGAGGGGAGACCTGGTGACAACCTGTGGACTAGCCCCGAGAGGGGGGAGTACATGTAAGAGCATGTTTAGCAGGGAGGGAAGACACGAGGCCGCCTTAAAAAAGGGGGAACTAAACCGTGGTTGAGTGAGCTTATGGGATCGCCAACAGGGGATCACACATAGCAGGCACCTCTACCCAGAACGCAGGCTGACCAGCGGGCATGCCAACAACGTAACGGGACTCTACGCTGAGTCAGATGCTGGGGGCCTCGGAGGAACTCTGCAGGGTTCGCCAAACGGGGAACTGAACTGACAAAGCTGAAAAAGTGCACGCATCTCTGTGTTAGGGAGAATGGCGCAGCACCCAGAGTTTCAACACCCTAACCCAGGGGTCGGCAACCCAAAATGTTGAAAGAGCCATACTGGACCAAAAAAAAAACAAAAACAAATATGTCTGGAGCCGCAAAAAAATAAAAGCCTTATATAAGCCTTATAATGAAGGCAACACATGCTGTATGTATTTATATTAGCTATAATAGCCTACTATAAAATGATTTAGTTGGCTACAAATACATACTGAGCCTTCATGATTAAATGTTTTTTTTTCCCCTGCAGTGCATCCTGTAGAGAATGACGCACCACGTGACTACTCTGTTGTACGATGCCGTCTCAAGTTTACCTTAATTGCAATATTAATGCATTATGTTTAATGTTCGAGTTTAACTTCATTACAATATTAATGAATTATGTTTAATGTTAAAGTTTAACTTCATTACAATATCAATGAATTATGTTTAATGTTCAAGTTTAACTTCATTACAATATTAATGCATCATGTTTTGCTTTGATGAAATTAAAGAAATGCAGTAAAGAAATCAGATTTTTGATGTTTTTTATTTTGAGGATTCCAAAAAACAACATCAAAATGAACGTGCATAACGTGCCCCTTACTGGGAATGTGCTCAACAAGGAAGGGTCAATCTCCAGGGGTGTGTGACAAGGAAAGACAGTCTCGTTTTTTCCTTTCGCCACTCGCAAAATCTGCTCCCAAATGCAGTTTGCATATCAACGATCGCACCTTGTAAATAATCACTGTTGAGTGAGTGATCGGGATGGGCTTCTTTGAATTTTCTCAGGGAGGGAAAATGAGAGAGCGTGCCCCGCTGTACATCTTTGGCAAAGACAGCTTACGCTCCATGGCGCATCACACAGCCGCCGGATAGTTTACAACAGCCACCTGCCTATTCCGTGTGTCGCAGGCTATGACGCAAATCTTCGTTGACAGAAATGTTGAAAATAAACATTCTACACACTTTTACAGCATTGGAAAACGTTAAGATTGTTTGTCCTCCTATAGAAACCATATTAAAATAAAAATATATTTACCTCCCCCATCTTTTTCCGTTTTCAAACATTTTTTGAAAAAGCTCCAGGGAGCCACTGGGGCAGTGCTAAAGAGCCGCATGCGGCTCTAGAGCCGCGGGTTGCCGACCCCTGCCCTAACCGAATCGTTACCTAATACCCTTCAGGAAACTAGATTGTAAAACGTTGCAAATGTATTAGGTGTTGCCCAGCCTGCAGCTCTGCAAATGTCTGTCAGAGAGGCGCAGCATGCTAATGCCCAAGAGGATGCGACGCTCCTTGTGGAGTGCGCTCTCACCCCAGGGGACACGGCTTGCCTTGGCTCTGATAAGCGAGGGAGATGGCATCCACTATCCAGTGGGCCAACCTCTGTTTAGATATAGCACTTCCCTTCTGCCGACCACCATAACAGACAAAGAGCAGGTCAAAGTATCCAAAGCTCTGAGTGTGGTCCACATAAATTCGCAAAGCGCGAACAGGACACAAGAATGAAAGGGCTGGGTCTGCCTCCTCCGCATGTAGCGCTTACAGGCTCACGACCTGATCCTTAAACGATGTGGTAGGAACCTTGGGCACATAGCTAGGTTCAAGGCACGAGTCACTGACCAAAAATGCCTCCAGGTCCCCGACCCTCTTAATCGATGCCAACGCGACCAGCAGAGCTGTCTTCAAGGACAGAAATCAGTAAAGGATACTGAATCGAGTGGTTTGAAGGGATCCTCAAATAGGCTCTTTAACACTACCGCAAGATCCCAAGAGGGCATGAGTGGGGGGCGGGGTCAAACCACACGCCTCGCACCTCTGAGGAACCGGATAATGAGGTTATGCCTCCCCACAGTGCTGCCATCCACCGTGTTATGATGAGCAGAAATAGCAGCCACGTAAACCTTCAGTGTGTAGGGCGACAGCCTTCGCTCCAACCTGTCCTGAAGGAAAGAAAGCACAACACGGATCTGGCAAGATCAGGGGTCTTCTCTGTGAGAACCGCACCACTTAGTGGCTCGTAGAGGGTGCTCTAGCCTGAGTAATGGTATTAACCACCGCCACAGGTAGGCTACCTAAGTCTTCCTCGCATCTCTGAACCACACGAGGAGGTTGCACAGATCTGGGCAAGGATGCCAGATGGTTCCTTGTCCCTGAGAGAGTAGGTCCTCTCTTAAAAGGACTCGCGAGGAGGGAGAGTTCTAATATCCAGGTCCGGTTGGGCCAGAGAGGAGCAACTAGCAAGACCTGCTCCTCGTCCTCCCTGACCTTGCACTGTAACTGTGCGAATAGGCTCACTGGGGGAACCGCACATTTGCGCATGCCCCGAGGCCGGCTGTGGGCCAGTGCATCCATGCAGAGGGAGCCCTCCGTCAGGTAAAAGAACCACTGGCAAAGGGCATTCTCAGCAGAAGCAAACAGGTTGACCTGGGCTTCCCGAAGTGCGCCCATATCAGCTGAACAGACTCGGGGTGAAGTCGCCATTCTCCTGGGGTTAGGAGCTGCCGTGAGAGCCCGTTAGCCGCATGGTTGAGCTCGCCTGGAATGTGAACAGCTCGCAGCATCTTCTGCCGCATATGACTCCAGAGGAGCAGACGGCAAGCGAGCAATGACATGCGGCGGCAGCGCATCCCTCTCATAAAAAAGCGGTGCAGAGCAAGAAACACTGCAACAGCTCTAGGCAGTTGATATGCCAATGCAGCTGGGTTCCCTTCCGCAGGTACGCAGCAGCATGCCCGCAACACATGGCCCCCCAACCTGTACTGGAAGCATCTGTCGAAACGACAACATGCCTGGATGCCTGACCTAGGGGCACTCTGGCCTGTAGAAAGGAGGGGTCCCTCCAGGGGCTGAGGGGGCTGCGACACAGCGCAGTGACAGTCACTCAATGTGTGCCCACATGCCATGCACGTCTGTGGACCCGATCGTGAAGCCAAGTGATCTCATATAGAGCAATCCGAGCAGCATGACCGCAGCTGCAGATGCCATATGCCTCAGGAGCCTCTGAAATGATTTCAGGGGGACCACCTTTTTTCTGTCGAACTCTCTCAGACAGTTCAGCACTAGCTCGGCACGCTCTCATAAGAAGCACACCCTCATGGCGATCGAGTCCAGCTCCAACCCGAGAAAGGTTTACGATTACAGTACCCGATTTACTCCCACTGTAACCCTCAGATCTGCCTGTGTGACAACCGCAGTGCGGGGGACAACTTGGGTGGGTCGCTCTTTTGCAAGAGAAAGCCACGATCTTAACTGCGCAACAGACATGACATCATAGTGACTGCTCGCGAGCACCGCATTAACATGCTGGACCCCCAGACATAAAACACTGTGCTAGTGCCCATCATCCGGGGACAGGAAACCACCACATCCAAAAACGCATGGTCAGAGTGACGTCTTGAAAAAGATGCGCTGCACAACCGTGTTCCCTTTTTTGCTATATACAAACTGCTCTTGGAGGACCGGACCCAGATGCTTTTCGATCTCTCTCTGTAGACACAGGTTGGAAATACCCTCAAAGACTCTCTCAGAAGCTTGTGAAAGGCTCTAAAAGCGAAATTGGAGCATTGGAGTTCCCCATCCGAAGGGGAAATGTGTTTCCTGATCAAGCAATATTTACCTTGATTTTTTTTTAAGTGTTGTTGATAAAAATTTTAATTCCCTCCATTTTGAACATGTTCTCAGATGACACAATTCGTTTTCATAGAAACCACCAAAAAATCTTTCACACAAACGTTTTAAAGCTTCATTACAGCGATGTGTTGGAAATAACACTGATACTGTGCCACAGCTATATTTACGATAAAAATTTATATTGATAATATACATATTGATAATGACACATATTGTCAGGGTGTAAAACATCTTTAACCCAGGGTCGTTATAGGTGGCGTCATGACAAGGTGCTCTTGATCTTTGCTGCATGACAGAAGAGATAAAAGAAACCATCAGCTTTATCAAGGAGGGGGGCAAGGAATGTCGCAGCTAGGGCAGTAGCTAAGTGAAGCTTGCTGCAAGCCACAGGCGCTTGAGAATTGAGAGTTGATGTTGGAAGAAAACTGCAGTTCCCAGAAGTGGTTTACACAGCTCTTCGTCCAAATATTGTCTTCTGTTCAGACAAACACCGTAAAATCATATTAATAGAGCGGACTCTGACATGGGGGGAGGGTTGTGAAGAAGTTCATGAGAGGAAGGCCTTAAAGTACACACCACTAATCCAGGAGTGTAAAAACAAAGGTTGGGGGGCATGGCTGTTTCATGTGGAGGTATAGGGTGTAGAGGCTTACCTGCAAAGTCAGTATGGTGACTGATGTCAGCTTTAGGCATGGAAGAGAAAAGCAAGAAACATGCTGCTTGCAGGATAGGAGAAGAAGCAGAATGAGCTTTATGCTTCATGCTATAGAGTAAGAGAGAGGAGGAAAGCTAGAAGCCATGAGTAGATGGGCTGTGGCTTGGCCACCACTGCCGACCCACCAGCTGGAGAGTGTTGTGGTAAGGGTCAAAACGCTCAAGTAAGAATGGGAACCACCTGAACCACCTGACCTCTACTCGTGGCAGAAAGCTATGGTTACATAGTAGAGTAACCAAAGGAAGCACCAAAAAGGTGTATGTCACAATGATAGTCTCACATTAGTAACTATAAAATATTTAAATTATTTCACTAGTGCTTAATTAAGATACATGAATAGTTACCAGATAAATAATATTTTAAAATGTTATTTTTATAGTTGAAATTTAAAACTCTGGGTGTGACAAGGTCAAAACAGTGATTTTGAAACCTAAAAGGAGGTTGAATATATGAAAAAAATTTAATAGAAAGCTAGTACATTTTTTTAAAGTAGGTTTTATTGTTAGTTTGACAAAGAAAGCGGAATTTGAACAAAATTATATATCTTTTTTGCATATATGATTAAAGGACATAAAAGTGCCCGTAGTTGAAGAATTACCCTAATATTGTTTATGACTACCATGAGCTTGGACGGCTGCATCCATACATCTCTGCAATGACACAAATCATTTATTAATAAAGTCATCTGGAATGGGAAAGAAATCGTTCTTGCAGGACTTTAAGAGTACATCAAGATTTTTTGGATTCATCTCCTCCATCTTACCCCAGGCATGCTCAATAATGTTAATTTCTGGTGACTGGGCTGATCAATCCTGGAGCATCTTGACCTTCTTTGCTTTCAGGAACATTGATGTGGAGGCTTAAGTTTAAGAAGGGTCTTGATACTTCAGGCTGTTGATGTTGCCATCCGATCAGCAGATCTCTCACACGCCCCCATACTAAATGTAACCCCTAATCATGAATTTTCCTTCACCAAACTTGACAGTTTTCTTTGAGAATCTTGAGTCCATGCAGGTTATAATAGGTCTTCAGCAATATTTCAGTTCAACAGATGATACATCAATAAAATAAAATAAATAAATAAATAATAAAAAAATAATAATAATAATCTGCCTTCTGCTACATTTCCAAATGATCAGCTAGAAAAAAATATTATTTGTTGCTCTTACAACAGGGATTGATGACAAGACTGTGGTCAGGTAGTGTATAACTTAAAAAAATCTCTTAAATGCTTTTCAATTGAATAAAAATTTATCAATTGATAATCATTGATAACAACTGAGCTCTTATTACAACGATTGCTGAAGCATCATTTAACACTGAAGACAGAAACAATTGCTACCAAAAGAAATCAGCTGTTCCATTACAGGAATAAATTACATTTTAAAAATATATTTTAACACTACAACTGCAATTTCTAAATTATAATAACATTTAACAATTGCACTGTACACAAAATGTGTTGCTTGTTTAAACTATTTATTTAAAATGAGCTGAAACAACATCCTTCTTGAAATTTTGTTGAGACAAGTGAATTGTTTTATGTTAATCCACTTACATTTGTAAAAACAAACAAGTTAACTTAATTCCTTCATTCTGTTGTAACACAAATCGATTGTGTGGAACTCAGCATTTTTATAGTGTACATTTTAATCAAATAAATAAAGCATCAATGGCTTTCAAAAAAGTTTAGTGCTTCCTAATCTTCTTTAGTCCTTATCTTCTTTAAGATTAAAAGACACATGAATGCCTCACGCTTTTAAATAAGGATAAACAAAAATAGCCTTTTAATAATAAATCCACAAGAAATTCATACACTATAAACAATACCAAACCATAAACAGAAACCATAAAAATAGTACACTGTAAAAAGCAATTTTAGTTGACTTTACTTAACCCATTTGTGGCCAAATTTTTAAAAATGGTTTCGTGCATGTAGCCTTGTTCATTTGCAACACTATTAACATGTTTTGCATTTATTTCTCCAGGTTTTTAATCAATTTATTTTTTTCATGAAAATTGTATTTAAATATGTGGCAACTATAGTTAGCGGTGGGTAAATATGTTGTAAGAATCCTTTAATGTAAAATTTGAATAATAGGAGAACATTTAGCATTCTAACTCAAAGCAACTGCTTTCAAAAGATCAATTCATATTCATAAACACATTTATTATGTTAATTACCTCCCAAAAAATTTGTCGCGCCCCAACCTTTGGGGGGATGGGGGGTGGGGGGGTGAGCCCTACGTGTGCACGTGCCTGCATTTTACTGATCCTTCTTTTAACAAACGGCCGATGAAGTCTTTTTTGTAGCATGTTGTTTCCAGAAGCACTCAAACTGCTCAAGGCTGGGCTATAATGCTGAGGTTTCATCTTTGGGTAGAGACTCAATAATATCCATCTGCACTTTGCAACTGTGTGTGTGTGTGTGTGTGAGGCTTTTTCTGTGTTAGTGGGCGGGCCACAGATTTAAAATCTCCCGGGTTTGTGCGCAGAACTACTTGGTTTTTCGTTATTACGTCATGGCGAAACACCTAATGACTCGTTATAAAGACATCTCGTTGCACTATGAGTCGACTCTTTTATAGATGAATCAACCGTTTTAAACACTGTACACTTACAGATTTAAGCCTTAGCTGGATATTTCACTTCACTTAGAACTGTTTTACACACTATATGGAAGGACATTTTCAAAAACCCATAATATGGGCTCTTTAAAGTTTCTTTCCTCTGTTCAACACAAAGTAAGCTATTTATAAAGAAAGCTGAAAACATCTAACTTCTATAGTATTTGTTTGTCCTACTGTAGATGCTTTTAAGACATTGTGTTAACTAATTCTAAATGAAGTAACTAATGGCTTTTTACAGTGTAATTCAAGTCAAGTAGTTGCTGCATACAAAAGCCACTAATCAATATAAAAATGAAGAATATAGCCCAACATAAAAGCAGAACAGACTGAATTTTGAACTGTTCATGCTACAAGTTCTCTTGATTGTTCTTCAATTCAGATGTTTGTTGTCTTAGTAAACTCACCCAGAATAAAAAGCATCTCCACGGCAATGTCGCTAACTATCGTGCTCCTGCCTGCAGTCTCCACATCACTGTACGCTGTGAAACACACGTTGTATGGCACTGTCACAGCAACATAGAAAGTGGCCAATAGAATCATCCAGTCCCACAATGCCTTGGACACACTGTAGTGCAGCAGGATGAATCGAGACTTCTGAACTGCTGCCACTTTATACTCAGGCAGAGACGGTTTTTCAAACATGTCCTGAGGAGAAAGATTTGTTGTTTAAGGAACAAGAGTAAACAAAGTCATTGATTCATTTGTTTGCAGTATCTCAACTTCTTCAAGGCATAATAAAATTAAACGAAGAGCAATTTAGGAGTTTTGATGAAGAATTAAGAATTAAAAACTAAATTTTATTAAGCATATGTTGACCAATGGGGCAACGCGGTGGCGCAGTAGGTAGTGCTGTTGTCTCACAGCAAGAAAGTCGCTGGTTCATGCCTCGGCTGGGTCAGTTGGCGTTTCTGTGTGGAGTTTGCACGTTCTCCCCACGTTCGTGTGTGTTTCCTCCAGGTGCTTCCAGTTTCCCTCACAGTTTTAAAGACATGTGGTACAGGTAAATTGGTATAGGCTAGACTGTCCATGGGGTATGAGTGTGTATGGATGTTTCCCAGAGATGGGTTGCAGCTTGAAGAGCATCCGCTGCATAAAACATATGTTGGATAAGTTGGTGGTTTATTCCACTGTGGCGACCCCAGATTAATAAAGGGACTAAGCCGAAAAGAAAATGAAAGAATAAATGTTGACTACCGAAAGAAGTATGTCAGTGTTCGCAAGATAGTGTTTGAATCATATAAAATTTCACAAATGTGATTTAATATACACAGAAAGCTCATAAAAGGTGATTAAAAAATAAATAAATAAAGGGAGTGAAATAAAATTGCATAGTCATTCATTATGACATTTTTTTTTTTAAAATGAAACATTTATTTCTGACCTATGTATCAAGCATATGAAAGGATAAGGCAAATAAAATGATTTAGTATTTTGAAGATGCTGTGAGACTACACATTCTTAAAGAAATCTTTTAATATGTTCCCTGCAGGCGTCAACATGACATTAGATTGACAATTTATCCCAATGTTGTGGGGACATTGCATTTTGTCTGAAATGAAAATTGATGTCAGAACCCAATATCAATTTCTAATGCAAAGAACATTGTAATTTATTTATTTTATTATTACATCTTATTTGACTCAAACTCAATGTTTAAATTCTGAATCAATTCTGAAAGATTCCAGACTAAATAAAAAGGATTGAAAATAGAAATGAACTTACAATTAATCTGTCATTATTTTTTGAATGAAAGACAACTATGCTAAATCTTTTTCTGAAAGGAAATCACATGGCAGATGACAAATCTTAGTGTTTCTTTAATTTAACTTTTACATCACAAAGGTCAGGGCAAAGATCAAGCTCATAGTCTTTGGTCAGGATTAGTTTGAGGCAGCAAATCGAGTGGTTTCTAATCCGCCTAGCTGTCATCTGCTGCACTCTTCATTAAGATTAAAGAACAAGCCAAACACACACTAGCACCTCATGCCTTTATATAAGGACAAAGGAGATAAAAAATAAAAATAGTCTTTCAATAATAAATCCTCCTGGAAACTCAAGGAAAATAAACTTTTAACAGTTCCAAACCAGGAAAAAAAGTAAATGTTAAATAAAAGGTCAAATATTTCAACCTACTCATTTCACATGTCACAACCTACATTTCAACCTTAAAAAAACAAACAATATATGTATATATATTAGGGATGTAACGGTATTGTAAATACCGTCATACCGCAATATTAATTTTTTTCGATATTACCGTAGTCGCATGACTCGGTAAAACTATAGGTCTTCTGAGAAAATTTGCTCAGGCGAATGAAGCGAACGGGAGGTAGCGAAAACTACAATTCCCATCAGCCCATGCTTGACCATCATCCCTTGCGGTCTGTTGTCGCTACAGATCCAGTAATGCGGAAATGGAGTGTGCTGCTAGAAGCAGGGATGAAAAACAGCTGGAAAACTCTAAAGCGGGTGTTGTCGCCGCGCGCGTACTGAATAGCGGTGTTGTCGCGCGAGTTCTTATCAGCTGTGTTGTCGCGCGCGTACTGAATAGCGGTGTTGTCGCGCGCGTACTGAATAGCGGTGTTGTCGCGCGAGTTCTTATCAGCTGTGTTGTCGCGCTCGTACTGAATAGCGGTGTTGTCGCGCGAGTTCTTATCAGCTGTGTTGTCGCGCGTGTACTGAATAGCGGTGTTGTCAGCACACTGTTCAGATTGATGCAGACATGAGACCTCTATCTCACTCATGGTTTGTCCTCTCAAGTGGGGGAAAGACAATGCACAACGTTACCCACTGCTGTCAACCTGGGCCAAGTCATATCTCTCTTGTCCCAGAAACCTCAGTCCCAAATGAGAGGGTTTTTTCTGTTGCAGGGGACATTGTAAATACCCAGAGATACCAGCTTTTACCAGATTATATTTATATGATAATTTTCCTTTAAACACATCTCTATCTAAGTGAGTGATTAAATGTTGAATGTGATGAGTTTTCAACAATACTAAATTGAAACTTTATTTTTTTACATGGTTTAATGTTTTTTTGTTATTAAAATTGAAGTTCCTGTTTCAAAGCTTACAGATAGATGACTAATTTGTATGTCATTGACACTTTTGGCACTTTTTTGGAGTATTTTCATAAGTTTTGTTTTTTCCTGTAAATGATTCAATAAATACCGTACCGTGACATTCATACCGAGGTATTACCGAACCGTGAAATTCTGATACCGTTACATCCCTAATATATATATATATATATATATATATATATATATATATACACACACATATTATTGTTCAATACAATACATTTTCAACCATGCAAAAGATTGTAGTCGAAGATAAATAACTATTTATTATTTAAAATAAAAAACAAAATAGATTACATTAGATGAACTAAAATATATCCTATACTATTCTGGACATAAGTTATGTCTGCCTTTTCAATTACAACTGATATTATTCTGTTACAGTGGCAAACAGTTTACATTTTTTCCAATGTTGAAGCAACACTTCACTTTTATGTAGAAACAAATCACTAAAAAAAATATGTTTATAGACTGTTTGTAGTATTTTGTGACTCCACTACTTTTGCTATTTTTACCACTTGTTTAGGCATTTGATTTGTATTATGGGCCCTTGACCTTTTCTCCAAAAACTTTTGATGATGGAAATTTTTAAAATATGGACATTTATTAACATTTTTAATAAATAAATTGATACATTGTCAGGATTGATGTTGTAAATTATGATACAAAAAGCTGGTAATACAAAATCTGGTAAAACAAAGTTTTTACATTAAAGGGCTCTATTTTGACGATCTAGGCGCAAAGTACACCCGGTGCAAGGCGCGACGCAATTGTTGTTTGCTAGTTTCAGCTTGGCGCAAGAGTCTTTTTGACGTTTTGCACCACAATGTTTAAATAGTAAATGCATTTGCGCTCATATGTGTGCCCATAGGCGTTTTGAAAAAAAAACAGGAGGCACGTGTAGGGGCATTGCTGGCGCGTTGCTATTTTGAGGACCTATAATTGACTGTTTAATAGACCAGATCAAACCTGGTCTAAAGTCCAGCTCAGAGCGCATTAGTTGTGCGCATCACTTTCACACTGCTTAATACATACAGGATGTACAGCAATATACGCAGATATCTTTACATGTGAAAAAGAATTAAAGGATTAAAATACAACAACAAAAAAAACATTTTCTAGCCTACATGAATATAAAAAACAATCTTTCATGACTTCTTCATCTCAGGGTTCTTTTTCAGTTTATTCATAACAATTTGCTTTTGTATAATGTTATTATTATCAGTAGTATTTATTTTATGCATATTAACATTTTGTTTTATTAAACACAAGCTTAAATTTGCCCACCTGTCAGGTTTTAGACGATATGGGGCACAGCATGTGTATTTGGATATAACTCCGTTTTTGGATCACACTTCGTTAATTTATTCGTTTGCTGGAAATTGGAAATGAATTTAGAAATAGTTTTGAAACAAATCTTTGCTCTTAAACAAACCTAATTTTTAATAGGCCAATGGATGTCTGTGCGTACAACACGCTTCCCTATCCACGAGAGTGAAAATGAAAGTAAAGAATGAGGAGGCTCATCTCTCATTCTCGCGTTGTAGAGGCTTCGTTTTACTGTTTTCTTACTAGTGAAGCGTTCAGTTTTTCCACTCACATAGTACGTCATGTAAATAGCAAATGCGCTATGGCGCGACACAACTGACTCTTAAAGGGAATGGGAGATGAGACTCTGATTAGTTTATTCTCAAAACACACCTATAACTCATTATGAGAATAAGCTCATCCCTGTTAGACCATGCGCCACGACGCATAGCAGATTTTTACGTCCTTAAAATAGCAAAAGTGGATTCTGACACACCTTTAATGCATTTGCCCACTGCGTTTTGAACTTTGCGCATGGATTGTCAAAATAGAGCCCTAAAACACAGGGCGCAAAAGCAATAAGGGCATGTCCCAATCCACTTTTGCTATTTTAAGGATGGAAAAATGTGCTCTGCGCCATGGAGCATGGTCTAACAGGGTTGAGTTTATTCTCTTAATTAGTTGTGTTTTCAGAACAAACCAGCCAGAGTCTAAAAAACTGGACACTTTACTAACATGAAAATAGTTAAACAGACCATCTGCAGCGCGAGGATAAAGAATGACCCTCCTCCAGTCGGCCTTAAACTTACACTTTCTCTCTTGCGTGGATAAGGAAATATGTTATATGAGCTCCGCTAAAGACATCCATCAGCCTACATAATTAATTTAGCTTGCTAAGCACAAAGATTTGTTTCAATACTATTTCTAAATTCAGTTCTAATTTCCAGCAAATTAATAAATGAGCAATAATAATGAATTGTGGTCAAAAAGCTGAGTTATATCCAAATACACATGCTACTGTATGCCTCACATGGTCCAAAACCTGACACATGGACAAATCTAAGCTTTTTTTTTTTATTCAAACAAATATAAATATGCATATAATAAATACTACTACTACTAATAATAATATTATACAAAAAAAGCAAATTGCCATAAAAAAAGCCCAGAGTTTTGCCCTTTTTGAATCCATTTAGACAAAACACCATATCTGGCAGAGCACTTTTAGCTTAGCTTAGCTTAGCTAAATCCCTGAATCGGATTAGAACATTAGCATCTTGCTCAAAAAAAAAAAAAAAAAAAAAAACTTGACCTTTCTGTAGTTAGTTGCATTGCTTTATATGTTGAAATGGCTAGGAACTATATTCTCATTCATTTCATTCATTCATTTCATTTTCTGCTTCCCTTTATTAATCTGATGTCGCCACAGCAGAATTAACCACCAACTTATCCAGCATATGTTTTACGCAGCAGATGCCTTTCCAGCCGCAACTCATCACTGGGAAACCCATACACACTCATTTGCACACATACAAATACTATGGACAATTTAGCCTACCCAGTTCACCTGTTCTGCATGTCTTTCGAATCTGGGGGAAATCGGAGCACCCGGAGAAAACCCACGCGAACGCAGGGTCGCAGTCAATCTTAAAATAGGAAAATTGTCAAAACTCTTTGGTAATTTTGGAGTGAAATGCTAATGTAAATGGATTATCAATTATCTATGCTAAGCTAAGCTAAGCTAAGCTAAGCTAAAGACGCTCCTGCCTGTCTTGGGAATCAGCTAAGTCAATTCAAAACTGGTAAAACTTAACTGTTTAACTCTAGGTGAGTTGAAATATGAGCTTTTTAAAGTGGAGTGTTCTTTTAAAGTTCTCATACAGCAGTGTAAGAAACACTTAAGAAAACTTAAGAAAACACTTAAGAAAAGTCATTATCATTTTATATTCAGGCCAAAATTTTCACTCTTTTAGTTCAAAAATGTATTTCTTGCTCATAACACCCTTTGCTTATTTTTCTTGCAGTCAGCTGGAGTGTGATGTAATGAAAGCAGGTGGCTCAGTTGAGAAAGTCAAACTGAAAACAGGACCATCTGCTCACAGGAGCGATCGGAAGTGTGACCTGCCAATCTGGCCTCTTGTTCCAGCATGGCCATGTGAATTGGAGGATTAGACATCCTTTCCACTTCTAGCCTGCACTTTTCACACAGTTTGATCACTTCCTGAGTCAAAAGGTCATTGGAAAATTTGTTGCAACACATATGCTTTTAGCATTTACAGTTACTACAACCCCAAGTGTCATTGTAGAAAATAAACAGTACCTGGCTTTGTAGAGAGATTATTTCAATAAAATAAAATAAAATAAAATAAAATAAAATAAAATAAAATAAAATAAAATAAAATAAAATAAAATAAAATAAAATAAAATAAAATAAATAAAATAAAATAAAATAAAATATTTTTTGTTTTTGTTATGAAGAAAGAAATGTTACTATTATTAATAGTAATATTTTTAACAGATCAGTACTTTTAAATGTGAAAAATGTCAAATGTTTAGTTGAACATTTATTATTGAATGCATTTGTAGTCTTAATCTGTTTACAAAACATGTGTCATTCATGAAATTCAGATTTAAAACAATGTTTCCTTTTAGTAAGTAGTTCATAAATGTTTCCACTACTCACCCGACTTAATTTGACGTCATTTTTGCTGTCACGTGTAAACTGGCTGGTTAGCTGGTAAATCATGGCATGACCCCTCCTTCTAGCTTTACTGATATGAGACTTTTCAGTAGTCCTGCTGTTTGCCTTATCTGTCAAAAAAAGAAAAAAGAAAAAAAATTTGCAGTGTTTGTGATGTTTTAATTTTTTCTCCGAGGACTCACTATCACTCAAAAAAGCAAGTTTTTTCCTAAGGGCTTGACACCCAGTGGTTGAACTTGGTATTACACTCCCGGATCAAAATACAAGCAAGCGCAGGTTGCCAGATTGACGTAAGTGTACCTGAATATCAGCTTAAAGGCTAGTTTGAACCGTATTCTAACTAAGAGCAATGGCAAACGATAAAAGAAATATTTTTTCATTCTAAAAGAAATTTTTGTTCTAACCAACATGTGAAATTTCCATTTTTGGCACGGCTTCTATTTCTCCCTGGTGAACAACAGAATAAACAATGATCTCTTCAGGTACACCTTATGTGCTTTATGCAGTGTTAAATGCTAATAATCGGAGGTTTAAGGGCATTTAACATCACATTTATTGCCATACTAAAGCAGATAGTTTACCTCAGATCTTGAAAATAAAATAAACCGTTTGAAATTGAAGAGCCTTGCACGATGACTGCAAAGCAAAGTTCTAAAACAAATATCAATCATTCAGGATGTACTGTTTAACAATAATATTAAAGGTTTAATATGTATTAAATAGATTATAAACCTTACCATTACATGAGTGAGTGCATATCCTGTACTTTTGAATGGCTGTATTTAAATTTCTGTTGTGTTTTGTCTGGTGCAAACAGCCAAATTTCTTATACCTGCAAATCTCGTCACGTGTTGTTAGGCCACGGGGTTACAATGTAGCCTGCTCAACTAATGTTAAATGTTAATATAATTCATATTATTTACTAATTAATAACCTAATGTGGAACTCTTAATCTGCTTCTCATTTCGGAGCCTGCTACTGTCCACTGAAGGTTGCATTTTTAGTCGCGGACACATGCTTTAAGAGCCTTTATTTATGAACGAATGAAATACACTGTTTTCCAGCAAGGCAACCTGAGGTGCAGAAATATAATTGGCTAAACTGGCATTGGGCAGGTTAAAAGAACAAAAACCAAGACAGCTTTCCAGCACCAAAAGCACATTTTCAAAGCAGTATATCTGACTTCAACATTGTTTTTCGAATAAACAAAAATGTTCACTTAGCATGTTTCTTAAATATCTGCAAACATATTATGGTATTTTTATGATTTAGAGGAGTCAAATACGAACATACAACGCCTTTAAAAATTTAACAAGACTACATAGAGCAGTGGTGGAAATGATGACCGTACCATCGGTTTTGCTGCTGTGATGGCTCTTCTCGTGCGTTTCTGTGATGTCTTTGAAAGAAAAGAGAAAAAGCACCATCTCCCCCTTCTCATTCTTAATGGGTACAATGTCCAACAGACACCAGAACAAACTTCCTGTTAAAAAAAACAAAAACAAAAAGACTGTCAGATGCACACAATGACATAAAACAGTAAATACATCATAAAAATATCTTTATAAAATAGAAAATTAAGGACAGCTACTCAAATTGTGGTAATCTACCTCATACGTTATTTCGTTGATGCCTTCTTGATTCTTGATTCTTTTTCTTTTTATTGCTTTTTATTCTTTATAACAAAAAACTAAATTTCAAAAGACACACACTTACAGTATAAATGGTTTCATACATTTGTATGTGATAGTCAACCACTTACAAAAGAGAAAACAAAACTAGAAAGGAAAATAAAAACAAAAAATAAAAAATAAACAATATATATATATATATACTCACTGTACACATACACAAGACACAAATACACCCACCAGCAGTCATTTTATTATGCGCTAAATAAATTTAGCCTTCTTTCTAATAAAATTCTTATGCTAATATTTAACTATTCAAATGTGCTTTGAGATGTACAGTATATGATTATAAGGCATTGAGGGGCTCATTGGCACAATATCTACAGTAGCTGGTGGCTGAATAAAATAAAACAGATTAAAAGCAAAGTTTCATTGCAAATGGATGCTATGAATTACTCAGTCTGGAAATTTCATGTAAACAATGAAGGATTTTTCCCCAATGCATTTGTTGTTTAGAATTCAAAGGGTGCCCTCTGCTTTGTGTCATTCTATGAATAAGCCTGTCAGGTTTTATACTGCAAGTATCTCAGGGATCTCTTCTAAGTCCCCTATTATTCTCCATTTTCACCACATCAGAGCCATCATCTAATTGCCTGGTTTAAAAAATTTATTTTATTTTTGTGCATAAGTAATTTATCAATACAGGCAAAAACAAATGGAAGACATTCACAAGACGCCAAAAACAGATTCATAATAGCTTACAATAGACAAAGCATTTTTTGTATTTTTTTACAGCTTTGAGAGACAAAAAATTAGTAAAAAGGTGATTTTGAAAGTCTACATTTGTGGATAAAGAACTTACCATTTAAAATAATAAAAATTAACAAAATTGTATAACAAATAATTTATTTGTTTATTTAAAATTGATATTTTTTTTTATTTAAAATGTATTTGTTATATTAAATAAACAAATAAATTATTTGTTTATATAATAACAAACAATTTATTTTGCATTTAATGTTATAAACATATTATTTTGAGCAGAATAATCAGAAAAAACAGCCTTTCCAAAACAATGGCACACTCTGACAATCAACAAATAAGTGAAATAAGGATTCCTCACTGTTTTTACAAAATTCTTTCTCATTATCTGAAATTTGGAAAGTAAGACGTTGGTTGGGTATATTTTATGTAGAATCTTTAAATGAATTCCTTTTACTTTATTTGAAATGCAATTATTTTTATGGTAGCTGCCATGCTTTTCTCCAGTCAACCTCCCATAATAAAGGATTTAAAAAAAAATCCCTCTTGGAATAACTGTATTTTTATAACTAAATACTTGCCTTATGGCTTTATTAGTACATTTTTTGTCAAACATATTTTTACCATCTATCAGGAAATTATATTCTTTATTTTCTCTCTTATAATAGGTCAAATGACTGCACATTAAAATAACGAGTCCTGAGGGGATAGCTTGGATCACTTTCAAAAATTCTTTAAATTTAACAGGAAAACGTAACTTACATAAAAATGATTCATATGAATAGATCCTTAAAGATGAATCAAATAAATCACTTAAATATAAAAACTCATGTTCCAACCATTTCTGTAAATATAGACTCTTTCCTTTAACAGTAATTAAATCAATATTCCAAATTTTCTTTCTGTGAGGAGAAAAATTATGCACAAAGCAAAGTTTCCGAGCCAAGAGTGCTTGCTCATGAAATTTGGATAATTTTACTGGTAATTTAGATGGTAAAAAATTGCAAGTCGAAAGAAACTTTAGACCATCCACCTTCTTGGATAAATACTGTGACAATTGCATAGTTTCTCTTATCATTGCTATGTCAATGACACACAGCTCTACCTTTCATTTCATTAAGATGAACCCATGGTAGCTGCAAGAATGGGAAGGATGTCTCCACTTAGTTGAATAATGATCACCTACTAATTAACCTGGCAAAAACTGAACTTCCTGTCTTAACATCACACATTCAACATGGCTTCTCAATCCAGCTGGGATCATTTATCATAACCCCATGTAGTTCGGTAGGGAATCTTGGAGTGATCCTGGATGATCAGTTGTCCTTCAAAGAGCACATTGCTGACACTGGTCTATCATGCAGATTTGCACATTTTTAACATCTTAAAAATAAGACCCTTCTTAACAGATCATGCTGCACAACTATTAGTCCAACTCTAGTCATTCCAAGGCTGGACTACTGTAATGCTCTTCTAGCTGGTCTCCCATCCTGCACACTCAAGCCCCTAATGATGATCCAGAATGCAGCAGCTCATCTGGTCTTCAATGAGCCAAAGACAGCCCATGTAACACGTTCAAGTCTCGGCTGGGTCAGGTTTAATTTCGTTGTGTAGTTTGTATGTTCTCCCTGTGTTCGTGTGGGTTTCCTCCGGGTGTTCCAGTTTCCCCCATAAGTCCAAAGACATGCGGTATAGGTGAATTGGGTAAGCTAAATTGTCCGTAGTGTATGTGTGTGAATGAGTGTGTATGGACGTTTCCCAGTGATGGGTTGCAGCTGGAAGGGCATCCACTGCGTAAAACATATGCTTGATAAGTTGGCGGTTTATTTTGCTGTGGTGACCCCAGATTAATAAAGGGACCAAGCCGAAAACAAAACGAATGAATAAATATATATGAAAATCCCAGACCTAATTCACAATCTAAACTGCCTGGATTTTTTTAAACCTTAGAACTTGCCAGGCATGTCTCTATATTCTTCTGGCCATAAGCAAAGAAAGCTTGTGGCAGATGCCTTGGTCCAGCCAGATGTTCCATTGCACAATATGTCACTGTCTAGCAACTACATTTACAACATGTGACTGTTACTTATTGTTCAGTTGCTACATTGTTGTTTGCAGCATCTGTAAATCTACTCTAAGACAAACATCTAATCAGAGGGGTATAATCATATTCATAATTATAATCAGTGGGGACCTGGCACGCCAGCACAATCTGGATTGTTTCATGATTTCCTCTTTTTTTATATGACACAAAAGATGCATCAATTAAGTTTTTGTAATCACATGGTGGCTCTGGCGTGCTCAATTGTGGATTAAGGACTATAAAAACCACAGAATAATGGAATAACTTCCTAACAGCTCCCTTATATGAAAACTTACTGTCTATCCCCTATTTTACGCAAGGTTGCAGTGATTAAATAATGTGTAGACTGAAAAAGACTTAAAACATCTTGTAAATGTGTCACCATCTAACAAATCATTTTTATAATGACCATGTCAGTTGAAGTTTAGTGGACAATCAGTGCCAATTCCTGAGAAAAGTAAGTGGACTGAACTGGGAGAAGAAAAGTGCACGAGAGCCTTGACAAAAACAAAAAGGTCACTGGGAGAATTCAGGAAAGAAATACTTTTGAGTATATGATTTAATCTTTATTGCAGTGACTAATATGTTTTTGACTTGTTCTGTCAACTGATGCCTTGTGTTGTTGTATTTTCTAAACAACCATGTCAGCAGAACTATGGAAGAATCCTTCTCTAATTTCCCCATATCAAACTTTGCATTTTTGTCCTAGAATATGACTATGGTATACAACTTTCTTCATGGTTCTGTACTGTACATAGTTAAAGGAATGGAACACTCAACAAGCTAGAAACATTAATTACTGTACATGCCCATCTCGCTCACCTCATTTTTTCTGCATACTTTACACTATAAAACATGTTGGATTCCACACAATTCCTTCATGTTTTCCCAACACAAATTCATTTAACTAAAACATTTTAACAATTTAAGTCAATTTAATCCAAAACAATTAAGCTGCCCCCCATAACAAACAAAAAATTGTGTTGTTTTAACCTAAATAAGTAGTTTGAACAAGCAGCAAAAGTTATTTTTCATCTTAGAACTATGCACATTTAAGAGATAATTCAACCAAAAATGAAAGTTAAATTTTATTTACTCACCCTAAAATAGTGAGGTTTTAAACTTTTTTTTTTTTTTCAAAATACACTTTATTGTGTTCAACAAAAAAAGAAGAGAGTCAAATATAATTATTTTCATTTTTCAGTTTAAACATTCTCTTCAATGGCATCCATGCTCAAACAACCACTGATAAGGTGTATCAGTTAAATAGATAATAGACAATTAATCAATCATCAATTAATTGTTTGCGTCCCTAAACCAAACAAAACAACAAACAAACTGTTAAAAACAGCCTTCTCTTAGCAGCTACTGTATAAAATGCTGCGCTAAACTACAATGTACAGTATAACAAGAATATTATTACCATTCTTCTTGTAGAACTGGACCTCAGCCTGATACTCCTCCTTGCCCTCCATAGCTTTCTTCACACCCTGAACAACCTGCTCACTAGTGCCTGAGCCATAAAGAAAATGACAGCTGCAATTCTTCTGCATCACCTCTGTTCGTCCAAACCCTGTCAGCTCACAGAATCCATCAGAACAGTACACAATGGGATAGCCACGGTGACCCTGAGCATTCCCAAGTAGGAAATTGCTGTCTGTGGGACAGAAGAGAGAGAAAGATTATCAATGTTGTATTACATTATTATCCATATTGAGAATTCATCAATCTCCCCCTATGTGCAATATATATATATATATATATATATATATATATATATATATATATATATATATATATATATATATATATATCTTATGTATATGTAGAGTTTAATTTATTTACTTAAGATTAACTTTTTTTGTTATTCACAAAATTCACAAAAATATAATTTGTTATTCCCATGACTTAATAAATAATAAATAAATAACAGTGTTGTTCAGTAAGCAACAGCAAGGTACAGTATGTGCTTGTTTAAAAATGTATTTAAGAAAAAACTGTCTACCTGTGAAATATTCACTGGATTTTCCCTTTGACAAACAGCCCTGATCAACATTTTTATTCCAAATGAAATGTTGTATATAATAAAAGATTGTTAACATTGTATGTAGTAATGTATGTGATCTGAAGTTCTTTCAGTAAGTCATTTGTTAGTACCAAAAGCTCAGCTTCAACTGCTATAATCACTGCGCAGGAAAGCTGTCTCTACGGCAACAAGAGGGCAGCTATTTTGGGCGGCGAGTACACTGGCGCTCTGTTACTCAGAAGCATCAGCATTGTGAGGAAAGAGGAGGAGCTGTGTCTCCAGAGGTGAAGGTAACATTACTGACACATCACCTGTCTCTAAATTAAATAGTATACCTTAAACTGTTGTAAGAACTAAAGACCAGTGCCACGAAAAGGAACATCATTAGCATTACCATCATCTTTTTATGCACTTAAAACATAAAACATATTTTTAATAATAATAATAATAATAATGATAATAATTCCTTACATTTGTGTAGCACTTTTCTGGACACTCAACGGGTTTTACAAACCTCCTTTAAAATCAGTAAAATCACATTATAACCAGACACTTACAGTATTTGATTAGAAGACTATTATGTATCATCATTGTAATATAATACAAAAACATTGTTTTCTGAGATTTGATAATATGAAATATTTTGCTGATGCTTATATGATTAATTTTTTTAAATGGATATGCTCCACCTCCATTATGTGAGTTTGTGACAAACCAAAAAAAGAATGGTAGAGCAACATGATTTATTACTAGGGGAGACTGTGCTGTTCAGTTTAAACGTACAACTTGTGCACTGTCAGTCTTCTCAGTTAGAGCCAGCCATTTCTGGAACACTCTTTCTATTATTTTAAGAGGTATTACAAATTATTTGTTCGTTCCTTTTCTTTTCAGCTTAGATCCCTTTATTAATCTGGGGTCGCCACAGCGGAATGAACCGCCAATTTATCCAGCAGATGTTTTATGCAACAGATGCCTTTCCAGCTGCAACCCGTCTCTGGGAAACATCCATACACACTCATTCACACTCATACACTACAGACAATTTACCCTACCCTGTTCACCTGTACTACATGTCTTTGGGCTGCAGGGGAAACCAAAGCACCCCGAGGAAACCCACGCGAACACAGGGAGAACATACAAACTCTACAAAGACATGCCAACTGACTCAGCCAAGGCTCGAACAAGCGACCTTCTTGCTGTGAGGCGACAGCACTACGTACTGCATCGCTGCATCGCCCTATTACAAATTATTCAACATTTAAATACAGTTGCAATCAGAATTATTAAATCCCCTGAATTATTAGCCCCGCTGTTAATTTTCCCCCCAGTTTCTGTTCAATTTCTGAGAAGATTTTTTAAACACATTTCTGAACATAATAGTTTTTATGACTCATCTCTCATAACTGATTTCTTTTTATTGATGACAGTAAATAATATTTTACAAGACACTTCTATACAGTTTAAAGTGACATTTAAAGGCTTAACTAGGTTAATTACGTTAACTAAGCAGGTTAGGGTAATTAGACAAGTTATTGTATAATGATGGTTTGTCCTGTAGACTATCAAAAAATATAGCTTAAAGGGGCTAATAATTTTGACCTTAAAAAGGCTTTTAAAAAAATTAAAACTGCTTTTATTCTAGCCAAAATAAAACAAACAAGACTTTCTCCCGAAGAAAAAAATATTAAAGAACATACTGTGAAAATTTACGTGCTCTGTTTAACATCCTCTGGGAAATATTTAAAAAAGAAAAAAAAATCTAAAGGGGTTTAGTAATTCTGATTGCAACTGTACAAGTTAAAGAGACGGCTAAAAGCAAATCAAGATTGTAATCATGTGTTATTCTTTTTATGTAATACTTATTATATGTTTTATCCTTTTGATGTATGTAACTTTAATGATACGAGTAATAATGTGTTTACTATTTTAGGTTGCCTTTTTTAAATCTGGCAGTGGGCAACAGATAAAAATTTGCCCTTGTGGCTAACTCTGGCTTATTTAAAGTTTTACTGTTGATTAATGAGCATTGTCCCTGGTAAATAAATAAGTTTGAAATTTCAAATCTCAATGTTAAAATCAAAACAAACTGTAGACTTCAAACTTTGGTTTGAAGAACATTATATACTGTAAATTTAGAAAAAAAAGACTTTTGGTTGCGAATCAATGACAGCCCATAGAATCATGTGGTAAAAAGTATGACAAACTGGGAGTCTAAACAATGCTGATGGATTTTAAACCATTCAGAGACAGAAGCAAGTTCATTTGACACTTTCTATCAGGACATTCATAAGCAAAAGTATCTTTTATAAGATTGTGATTTTTTATTATATATTAATTAATCATTAATTATTGACAGTTAACTGTATAACTTGCTGCCTTTTATGCCCCTTTGTCAAGCTGTCACTGTTCATATATACACTTTATACATTGATGAGTGATGCAACGCTTAAATTAATAAAGATGTGCGAATGCCTAAAAAATCCCTGTTGTTATAAAATTCATAATGAATAAAACATTTGTGCAGGATAAACTTCTGTAAATGTTCATGTTACTATGTGTGAGGAGAATGAGCAGGATGTTATTTAATTAAATAGATTAAGTTTGCATGTAATCTGTAGTTTGCAGTATGAAAAGAAAGCTCAAATATGAGTATTGTATGTCACTTTTTAAATTTTTCGATTTTTGTTTTGTAGCTGACCATAATCTATATATTGTGAATTAGTTATGGATGATTATTTTCAAATGTTTATATCGTATGTATATGTATTGTATATATCATTACATTTATTGGCTGTTTAAAAGTACCTATTATGTTTTATAAGTTTTTTTTTTTATAAATTCATTTATTATTAATAAGTATACATAATTTGTCATTTAATTGTTTGAATTTTGATATTTTATAAGGCATATACAATAACAAAAAATTCTTGTATTGTAAAACTCATAATGATGAAACATTCATGCAGGATACACAAGCTAACATTTTGAAGTACTGTTGCTATGTGTGGTGGCATGAGAGAGAGATGTTATTTATCAAAAGAGATTAAGTTTGCATGTAAGCTGTAAGACTGCACCCTCATTCGTATTAAAAGAAATCTCAATTGTGAGTATTGTTAAGCCACTTTTTGTATCCTTTTCCTTTGTTTGTGTTGCGTAGCTGACCATAATCTATATTTTGTGAATTAGTTATAGATGATTATTAACAAGTGACTGTGTCAATCTGTGTTTTGCTTTGTGATTTAATTTTAGTTTTTGTGTCCAGACATTTTGAGGCATTGTATAATCCAAACATATCGGTACACTCATTAGCAGTTTGAAAGTAACTTTTATGAGGTTGTTGTTTTTTTCTTTGTTATAAATTAATTAATTATTATATATTATTAGTCAATAAATTGTATTACTTTAGGCCCTTTCTAAGTCCTGTCAAGCTGTCACTATTCATATACCATATATTTTATACATGAGTGATGCAATGTAGCTTCTCATTAATAAAGATGAATGCCTGAAAAATGCCTGGTGTTGTAAAACTCATAATGAAGAAACATTCATGCAGGATACACAAGCTAACATTTTAAAGTGTTGCAAATGAACATGTTGCTATTTGTGGTGACATGAGAGAGATGTTATTTAACTGAAGAGATTAAGATAAAATGTAAGCTGTGGTTTGCACCCTCATTACTCATTAGTATGGAAAGAAAGTTCAAATGTGAGTATTGTATGTCACTTTTTGTATCTTTAGATTTGTAAATGTCAATTTTATTTATCAAGCACTATTAAACACAACCAAATGTTGACCAATATGCTGCACAGTACACATCACAACAGAGTTAAAACATAAAATTATAGCTAAAACAGACAATTTTCATTGATAAAATGCCAAATCAGGAGGTAAGTTTTCAACCTAGATTTAAAAACAGACAGGTATAAAGCAGATCTAATACAGGGGGGCAGAGCATTCCACAATTTAGGAATTAAACTAGCTGCTGTGAAATCAGTCACCACTGCATTTTAACCTCAACTTGCATAACAATCTCTGGTTCAATGAGTGAAGAGACCGACCAGGCTGATGGTTAATTAAAATTTCTGGCGGATAAGAAGGTGCCAGGCCATAAAAATGACTTTATAGTGCACAGGCAGCCAGTGCAAAGATCGTAAAACTGGTGTAATGTGGTCATGTTTCTTGGTACTCGTTGAAAGCTATGCAGCAGCATTTTGAACTAATTGAAAACAGGATAAGGTTTTCTTACTAATCTCAAAGTACAATGAGTTACAATCCTCCAATCTAGTGGTAATTAAAGCATGTATTATTTTTTCAATTTTTTTCTAGATAGAATAGATTTGACTGTTTTTAAAAGACGAAGCTAAACGAAGCAGGATTTGACCACTGCAATTTTCTGAGCATTATGAATTATCTATCTACTTGAGCTTTGATCATCCAGAATTTGTGTAGTGTAGCTGACCATAATCTCAATGTTTGTGAATTATTTATGGACGAAAATTATCAAATGACTGTGTCAATCTGTGTTTTGCTTTATGATTTTATTTTTGCATTTTTTTCCCAGACATTTTGATGTATTGGATAATCCATCCATATCAGTACATTCATTCACTGTTCGAAATGACCTTTTCTGAGGTATGATTATGGTTTTTTTAATTATATATTATTCAATTTTTAATTATTATATATTATTGCTCATTTAACTGTATAACTTTATGCCTTTTACGTCTCTTGTCAAGCTGTCACTATTCATACCATACACGTCATACATGAGTTATGCAAGGCAGTCTAGCAGTCGAATGCTTGTAAATTGCAGTTTGCAGCCTCATTAGTGTGGAAGGTTCAAAGTATGCGAGTATTGTAATTTTAGATTTTTGTTGTGTGGCTGACCATAATCTATATTTTGTGAAATAGTTATGGATGATTATTATCAAATGACTGTGTCAATCTGTGCTTTGCTTTATGATTATATTTTTGTATTTTGTAGACACTTTGAAGCAATGTTTAGTCTTTAAAAACAGCCTATTAATTAATGGATTAAAAAGGTTCTTCTAAGGCAAATCTAAGGCAGGGATTAAGAAAGCAAACAGCGTTGTCCCTATAGGCTTCCGCATTTCCCATGGCACACACAGATCTCAAAGATGCATGCATTGAGAGCCTTCCTGCTACCACAAAAGAGAGTTATTTCCTATGATAAGACAAGAACAGACACAACGCATATGATGTCAGTGCACTACACCTACAGGATAGAAAACAATACATTATTTTTATTATGCCTTAAGGCAAAAAAAAAAAAAAAAAGCCATTCAAAATGAAATCACCCATCCCTATTAAAAATGTAACCTACAGTGCTCCGCATAATCGAGTACACCCCATTTTGAAAATAAAACTTTTTTACCCTCAGTGAATATAGGCGATGCATTTTGGTGCATTTAAACAAAACATATTTATTAAACAGATATATTTATTAAAATAATATTTTAGTCAGCATACATATTTAGAAATTGAAAGTTAACACAATTAAATTTAAGCAAAATATTACAAAATAAAATTATAACCCACAAAATTTCAACAAATTTTTTTCAATGTTTTTACTTCTCTTGATTTTTCCACTTTTTAAAAATTTGTATTTGACATTTTTCTATAACATAAATTTGGGTGTACCAGTTTTTGCACCGTTATTGTAAGTTATTTTGCTAGATAAGCTGCAGATTTGGCTTCAGTACTGACTAATCAAATGCATATGCACTAATATAACATTGTATGGCTTCCTATTAAAAATATAAATTTAAAAGATAGATTTGTGAGGGGTTTACTCATTTATGCTGAGCACTGTTTATATGTAAAATATTGTTTCTCATTTTAACAGAATTGCAAGCCCCAGGGACCAAATCCATAACCGTGGCATATTGCTTTCCCATGCTGTCCGAGCTGTAGAATAATTTAAGACTGAATATTACTCAAGACTGAATCAACAAACTACATAAGGTTATTCAACCACATTTGTATTTGAAGGGCAAATCTGGTAAGTAACTTTTTAGGAAGCATACTAAATGATGACGCAACACATACAGTCTCATTGTACATAATTAATGTGTGTTCCTTCGCTACCGTGGCAGTATCAAAGCTCAGTGCTCCTCGAGGGGTTCATTAAACCTGATGTTTATAGCAGCTCTCAGTATTATAACACACTGACAGATTCACCAACTTGTTAGTAGGACTCTAAAGCAGTAGGATGGACTGAGTTTGACTTACAGAAACCTATTTGAAATTAAATATTTTTGTACATCCATTTGGCAACACTATAGAAATCAAATTCTATTAAGAACTCTCATTTGTAAGAATATGCATTATTTTCCATTCACATGGGTTTGGTGTGTGTGCATTGGTGCCAGTACTTACGAGTGCCATCGAAGCGGGTGGCAATAGTGTCCAGGAAAGTGTTCTGGGGTGCCAGCAGCCCCTTCATTACTGGCATGATGCCAGGTATCCAGAGTCAGCAGATGTTTAGGAGAAAAGCCTGTATGAAGCATCAATCCTCACTACATCCCAAAGAAAGGGTGGCCAGGGCAGATGTAATGTACAGCAGAGAGAGCGCATCCTCCACGATCCAACTGCCACCCAGATGAAGACTCTTTACTGTATACCTTAGCCAGCTTTTAGAGTCCAATAGATGTCTGACATGGGAAACAAACAAATTCTTCCTTCTCAATGCATACATTGATGTTAACTTCCACTAGTTTTTATCCCTTTGTCTTTTCCCTCTCACCCATGCACACCTGCACAACAGAGGAAAATCCAGGAGATGTGCATCTCTAGAACATCGTGGTTTTGTTTTTGTTCTCTAACACGGAGCCTCAGAGACATTTCTCTTCCCCCCTCCTTCTCAATCCCTTTCTCTCTTTGCCGACACACACTCTTCATTCCCTCCAGTTCTCAGCAGCCAATGAGAACACAGATATAGCAGATAGCATCCATTCCTGAACAGATCAAGTGACATTCAGTTCACAGCTTCTCATCTGAATCCAGAGAGAACTGAACAAGAAGGTTTATTAAACAATTGTTTAAAACAAACCAATAAAGATTATAATCTGTGTTTGTACATTTTATAAATGTTGAAATGTGAGCTATTGTATAAGCTTATGCCATAGTAACGAAGCATCATTATGCTTTAGTTGATATTATTATTAATCTAACTACAAAATGCCTGAAAAAAAAAGTCATTCATGATAAGTTAAGATTTCAAATTTCAGTTTTTTTAATATGAATTAATTTTAAATGGTAAAATTCTCCCCTAGATTTTTTTAAACAAATACAATTAAATATATATTTTTTATTATTCAGATTTTATCCAGTTAAACAAATTTTACAGTTCAAAAATGACATTGATGTCTCTTGCTCTTTCTGTAAGACTTCTTAGTCTGTTGCTCAGTTACTTAAGCAATGTCCCTTTGTTAAAACTTTCTGGTCTGATGTGAATACTCTAATTGTTTAAAAGATTTGTAGAGATTTTTCTTTAAGCTATAGACCTGTTGTTTTGGGGTTTTACTCTAAAGAAAAAATAATTCCTTAATTCAAGTTTTTGTATAAACCTCATATTATCAGATTTATTTATACATAAGCGTAAATATATTCAAACATTTTAAACGAAAAACACAAATTTAGCATTACATTTTATTTTTTACTTTTTCATTGTCTTTCACATTTTAGTATACCATTGTTATATTTGTTTATCTTTTTTTAAAAATAATTATTTTAAATGTCATTATTTATTTTTATAGATTACTTTTTTCATTTCTCATTGAGTTTTTTTGCAGCATACCATAGTTATATTACTTAAACATTTTTTTATTTTTAAATTGTATTATTTTATAGATTTTTTACTTTCTCATTGTCTTTCATTTAGTTAATAGCATGTTCTATTTTTTTATTTTATTATTTTTTAATTAATAAATTTTTTACTTTCTCATTGAGTTTCTTTTGAAGCATGCTATTGTTATATTCCTTTAAGATTTTTTAAATTTTTTATTTATAATTTTTATTAATTTATTTTTTTAAAGATTTTTTTTTACTCTCTCATTGTCTTTCTTTTTGTAGTATACCATTGTCAGACTTTTTTGAATTTACATTAGTTCTCTTGTTGCAAAAAACATAATATTTTTTTGTTTGTACTATACCTATATCTGTTGTATTTTCATTGTAATTGCCTGTTGTTATTGCATTAAAAATATTTACAAAAATAATAAAAAGAAAATGGTGAACTACTACTGTATGACTATAATCATTGTTTAAATCAGGGCTGCTCAAACCTTTTCTTTTAAAGAGACAAAAGCCAAAGTTGATTGAGGCTTGTGGGCCGAAATATAGGTGGGGTAATTTACCATGGTTAATTTTCTAATTTAATTAATAATGTTTCAAACTTTTTAATTTAAAACAAAGTTTTTGCCTTGATTTTCTAGCAGATATTTTCTGCATAGTCCTCTATCTGTCGAGTGACATTATTTACATTTTTAAAAATCTGATTCGTTTACAAGATTTAATTTAAATATAAGATTGTTGTCGCGCGCGTACTCAAGAGCGGTGTTGTCGCGCGCCTACAGAAGGGCGGGACGGAGGGTGTGTCGCGTCGCGGGGGCACTTTTGATCATTTCGGAAGGGCACTTTCTATCCAAGACTGAAAAGGGCATGTGCACTGCACAGGTTGAGCCCTATGGGTGCATGTTTCTGCCGGGAAAAATCACACGTGATGTGAGCTGCTGACCCTGAGCTGTTATCACAGAAAGGGCGGGCGGGCACCCTACTTAATGATAGACGCGCGCACGTTTACTTTATTGAACAGAACCTGCATAGGCTGTGAGTAAAAGGTAAAAAAGTTGTAGTTTGTGGCGCAGAGTGATTGTTTGTGTCGCGCGCAAAGTAAGAACAGCACTTGAAACCGAAACCGTGCACTTTATTATAATAATCATATTGCATTTTAGAGTTATGATTGCAACAAGCATTTTATATGTTTTTTCTTTCATAGGAAACCAGTGGTGTAAAGTAACTAATTACAAATACTCAAGTTACTGTAATTGACTAGTTTTTCTCAGAAATTGTAATTTAGTAAGTAGTTTTAAAAATGTGTACTTTTACATTTCCTTGAGTACATTTTTAGTGCAGTATCTGTACTTTTACTCTCAATAATTTCCTTCAACCTGCAGTTACTACTTTATTTTTTCTTGATTATGGGAATTAGAAAAATCAGTCCTGTAATTCCTGTCCAATCAAATCACACATAGAAGGTAAATCGCATCATAATGAGCTACTTCAAGACATTTGCACTTTACATTGCAGCAAACCAGGCCCGGATTGGCTAATCGGGAGGACTGGGAGAATTCCCGGTGGGCCGGTCCGTTTTTTGGCCGCGAGGGCCGGTGTATCTAATGTTAGCTCCAGAATCTGTTGCTCTCAGCAGTCACACTTTTTAAATTAATGTATTTATTTACTTGACCACAGTCTTCTTATTCATTATTTTACCGCAGCTCTGCTCTTTTTGTCTATTTTCTTGCCACCGACCCGGGTTTGATCCTCATCGGAGTAAAGACATATAATACTGTTAAGGTTGTTGAACATTTGAACTTCTAAAGCAGCTGTTTTCTCAAAAAGGCGTGATAGTGTCATTAGAAACTGAATTGGAAATGACCTTATTTTAATATAGTCAGTCGTGAACTGAGGTGGGCCGGTCTGAGGCTTGAAACTCCATGGCTGAAAAGGAGTCCCACTCTGGCCCTGCAGTAAACTGTATTTAAAAAGCATTAAGTGTCCAAGAAGATGTTTAAAATCTTTACACGCATTGACCCAGAGACTGTTTAGATCAGGGATGCCCAAAATTCAATACTCGGTCCTGGAGGGCCGAAGTCCTGCAGATTTTAGTTCCAACTTGCCTCAACACACCTGCACGGATGTTTCTAGAAAGCCTAGTATGAGATTGATTAGCTAGCCCAGGTGGTCTAATTGGGATTGGAACTAAACTTTGCAGGACACCGGTCCTCCAGGACCGAGTATTGAATTTTGGTCACCTGACATCACAAGCTAAATCTAACCTAATATTAATGTCTATTAACATATTAATGACATAGTGTGCCTGCTGGACAATAACTAAATGCACTACAGAATGTTACGTTTTCTGACATCCACAAATTACATGTAAATCCATCAACTTTTAACAGCATAATACTCACTACTCATGAGTACTTTTAAAAAGGCTACTTTTTACTCCTACATTGAGTAATATTTACAACAGGTACTTTTACTCTACTCACACTTCATTTTTAGGCAAGTAATGGTACTTTTACTTAAGTATGCTTTTTCAGTACTTTTTCCACCACTGTAGGGAACACAGAGTTGTGTATCAAAATAAATGTTTACAGTGTCAGTATAACTACTCTAGCCTATATAATGTTGATTTTACCAGTGAATTAAATGGTCAAATAATCTTGTCAATGACAGATTGCAAGCATAGGCCTATATCTCAAACATAATTCAACATCAGAATTATTATAAGTAGAATAGAATTATTTAAAGAAACCAGTAGACCTACACATAAAATTATTGTTGTTGTTTTACCATATGCTTGAGAAAAAACAATAATAATTGGCGACTCATAAGTTTTATTTTACATATACAGAATCGTGAGAAAATCGGGATCTTTATTTTAAGCAAAAAAATTGCGATTCTCATTTTAGCCAGAATCGTGCAGCTCTACAGTTATGATTATCATAAAATATTAGGTATTATGAGGTTGTATACATTATTATAATGCATTTAGAATGCTCTCATAATCTCCTATTTATATATTGTACTGTTAATATACTGTACTGTTAATATACTATACTGTACTCTGCACAAGACTTTGGCCAGCGGAGAAATTAAAATGGTCGTGCCCAACTGAGTCTGGTTCTCTCAAGGTTTTTTTCTTCACTCCCATCAGGTGAAGTTTTTTTTCCCTCTCCGCTGTCGCCACTGCCTCGCATGGTTCAGGATTGGTAGAGCTACGCATCGATGAATTTGCTCTTCAGTGTTTGAACTCGCAGTAATGATTAAATCACACTGAACTGAGCTAAACTGAACTGAACTGAACTTAAACACTAAAACCTGAACCACACTGTTCCAGTTACTATGACCATTTATGTGAAGCTGCTTTGACACAATCTACATTGTAAAAGTGCTATACAAATAAAAAAAAGCTGAATTACTTCAAAGGCTATGTTTTATAGATAAAGTGCTAAAAACAATTTCTCTTTCTATACATTTTCTGAATTGTCATGTGAAATATCTGTTATTTCTGAAAACATTTCTTTTGTGTTTTAAACAATAAAACAATTTAGAGACTAGACCTTTACCTGCTTACAGCTTTACTGTAGTTTCTTATACTATTGTACTATTATTGTAGTTCTCTGTTAGAATCTGGGCTTATTAGTCATTTTAATGTATTTATTATATAGCTGATTTTATCTAATGTAATCCAAAATGTGGGACTATAGAAAACATTTTATCCTGAGGAAGCAATAACATGAAGTGATAGAATGGTTTCAAAAGAAGTTCAGAGAAATACAGCTAGAAAAGAAAGAAAATAATTTCAATTAAAGACCATTCAGTCCTGTAGTTTAAGCCTTTAAATTAAACTTTTTTCTCCTTGCGAGAAAAATCCTCCATCTGTTTATATAAGTCAAAGATCTTAATTTCTCTGAGGATCTGAGTATCTCTCATACACAGTAGGAAATGTGTGAAAGATAGATTGATTCTGAAACCCCTGGAATGACTTTTCACAGTATCTGTTGACAGATGCAGTCTTGTAAATCCTCACTGGGTCAGTGAAGGATAGCCAGACTGTTTGTTCAGGACATTCAAACCCGCCTGATTCATACCAACAGAT